CCCTACCCTGGCATTGTCCCAGAACCGCTCATGTCTTTATCCTAAGGCAGGTGCATGGAGCAAACAGTGCCTTCCCTCCAGCCTCGTCCTCTGTCCTGGCTCGACGGCCATTCTCGGTTGCGGCCCAACGAGTTCTGGAGCTTATGCAGACTGGGAAAGATTCGTCACACCAGATGGCAATTTACTTAACTTTTCCTTTCCTTTTTCTTCTTGTTGAGGATGGAGTTGTCACTCTTGTTGCCCAGCTGGGAGGCAATGGCAACAATCTAAGTCACGCAACCTCTTCCTCAGGTTCAAGTGATTCTCCTGCCTCTGCCTCCCAAGTACGCGGTATTACAGGCATGTGCCACCACCACTCTGTAAAATTGTTTGTATTTTTAGTAAAAACGCGGGGTTTCTCCATATTTGGTCGCAGCTGGGACTCAAATCCTGACCTCGGGTGACCACGCCACCTCGGCCTCCCAGAGTGTTCGGGATTACAGGCGTGAGCCACCACCGCCCGGCCTACGTTAAACTTTTCGTGTACTGCCTTCACTTTCTGCCCCAAAACTGGGGAGGAAATGTTGCTCTGCCCTTAGCTGACTGTGGACAGCTGTGGGTTGAAGACAGCAGTGCACGGTGAGCATGGAAGGCACTGTGAGGGGTGCACAGTTGGCCTGCTTGCACGTGACAGTGGCAGATCATTATAACCACACAGCCATGCTGCGGATAGCCCATGGATGGTGATGGGGAGATCCCAGCACCTCCCTCTCCTCCCAGGCAGAGCCCCAGGCGAGGGGTCTTCCATGCTTCTGGAACCTCCATGGCTGTGGAGGAACAAACTGTCCGCAGTACCTCCCCAGGCCTGAGGCCCACCCTGGCTCCTTCCACAAAGAGACATAAGCTCTTCAGCCATCTAGCCATGGACTGACTTGGTACCCAGCCCTGCAGCGCTGGTTTTCACTGGCTTGTCCTTAGTCAAGCCTGGGTATCCACCTCCCCAGCTGGCCCCCAGAGCAACCAGAGAAACACACAACACTCCTCTCACACCAAGCCATCCAGACAGTCTCCAGGAATCTAGATCAGCCCAAAGAAAATATTATTTGGGGCTTCGAAGACCTTCACAGCCCCGAACCAAGGAGGACATCTATTCATGACTCACGATGCTCATGTATTTGCTCCGTGTTATTCACTCAGGTTCATTGATCCAGCAGACTTAGTGAGGTGGCTACCCAGTACCAGGCATGAAATGCAGACCTCACCCAGGGGGTGTTGCAAGGGACCCCAGGCAGGTGGAGGAGCTGTCTTTTGTGCACAGGAGTTTCACTCTTGTTTGCCCAGGCTGGAGTGTAATGCAGCTCACTCTGCGGCCACTGCAACCTCCACCTGCCCAGGGTTCAAGCGATTATCCTGCCTCAGGTCCTCCCAGGTAGCTGGGGATTACAAAAGAACAAAAATACAAAAATAGACACCACGCCTGGCCTATTTTTGAATTTTTAAAAATAAAAATAGAAATTTGAGGAGACAGGGGTTTTCAGCCATTTTGGCCAGGCTGGTCTCAAACTCCTGACCTCGTGATCGCCCGCCTCGGGCCCCCAAGCGCTGGGTGCATTACAAGCGTTGAGCTTAAACTGTGGGCCTGGGGCCTGAGGGAGGAGGGCTTTTAAGCCAGCCGCCACCCCAGTACTTTCAGGCCTGAAGCGCAGTACTAGAAGGTGGAAGGTGGTTTCCAGTCCTGTAGGAGCAGGCCTTGTGTACTGTGTATCCCACAGGGAGTTCAGGGGCTCCAAATCGCGTGCTCTCTCAACCCTGGCTCCTGTTGCTTGGTCTCTTGTGTGGCCCGCTGAGCTGCCTGGGGGCAGAGGCCCCATGCAGCCCATCTCTGGCCTGGCCTCTCTCACCGGAAGGCGGCCTGCCTCCTCTGTCTGTAACTGACCCGCTCACGCACCTGGGGTGCGTGCTGTCTTGTTCTGCAGCCCGAGGAGGAACCCAGATGTAGAGGGATCTCATGGCCTGTGTCCACCCACAGTCTTCTGCCCTGCTCCCTTTTTTCTGAATGCCAAGCTGGGGCCTCTCTTGCTCAGGATTGCCTATTGTTGTCTGAGTCCCACCTGGGGAGGGGCCCATGCATCCTGGGTGGTCAGGCGGGCAGGGGCCCTGGCTGGTGAGGGAGGCCTACCTTTGACAGCCACGTGAACGCTCTGGCTAATGGAGAGCTGGGGCTGGATGAGGACGCTGCACAGGTACTCCCCCTCGTCCATGCCTTTCTGCACGTCAGTCAGCTTGAGGGTCCCGTTCTCAAACACCACCTGGCGGTGGTTGTCCGGCAGCAGCAGGGCATCCTTGTACCACTTGATGGAGTAGTAGGGATAGCCGATGACCCTGCAGTTGATAAGGGTGTCCCGCCCGGCGACTGCTGTGATGTTCCGCATGGCCCGGATGCTGGGGGGGCCTGGGCAGGAGTCAGGAGGGAGGAGGAGGAGGAGGAGGAGAGGGGCATGTGCTGCCGTCAGCCAGGGACAGCCGGGCACCACCCTGCGTTGCTCTTCTCAGGCACTCGGCCCCTGAGACTTTCAGGGGGCGGACATTTGGTGGGGGCACAGGGATGCCTTTTTACAAAGCTACAGACAGGGGCTGGAATTGGGGGGGTGCCCACAGTCTCTCCAGCACTCACTATTACTAGCTTCAAAGAGTTGCAAACAGACGCAGTATATACACGCCTGGGCCAAGAGCCATTCCCCTAGTGAGACAGGGATAGGACCAAGCTGCAGCCCCACCAAGGAGTGACTGGGATTTGGGAGGGCAAGTTACTCAGTTATGGGGAGATTAAGATTTTGGGATGAAAGTGGAAAGGTAGAGATTTTGTTGTTTCCATTCTACTTGCTTATTTTTGATCTCGTACCCAAAAGGAATTTAAGTTAACTACTTAAAGACAGCAGGAAGGTCTCGCCAGGTGAGGTGATGACTTTCGGTCAACAAGAAATGTGTATTGTAGGCCCCTGGGAAGGAGCTGTGAAAGGGGTGCTGATAGTGCTGGCCGGGGAGAGACAGTGTCCTGGGCTGGGCCTGCTGGGCAGATGGCAATCTAGGGGTTGGAATGGGAGTTCAGAGGCTACCAAGCAAGACAGTGCTCCACAGGGTACAGGGTGCACTCTGGGCTTCAGGTCCCCATCTAGAACAGGAGGGGCCCGACTGGGAAATCTTCCAGGGCCCCACATCTCTGTCCCCCTTGCAATTCAGAGGAGAGATCAGGAGGGTGGCCAGATGGGAAACCCGTACTTCTGTGGGGGGTCCAAGGCCTCGCACAGGCAAATTTAACATGAAACTCCATCTTTGCTCCTTTTCCTACTCCTGTGGCAACCAGGAGTGCCCCTGGATCAGTGCCCCTTCCCTTCCTGCTGTCCCCGTGCTCCTCTGCCCTGGGGTCAGGGGTCAGCAGTAGGGTCAGATGAAGACCAATCAGACCCCACGGGGCTACAAAGAGCTTCAGAGGAGACTGTGTTCTCACCACAGTGACTTGGAGAACTGAGATGTGGGGACGATGCCCCTGAGGGCTCCTTTCCCCACTCTTGGAGGCTGCCTGCTTTGGGACACCCCCAGCCAGGCTCAGCCTCTTACTCTTGATGGTGTGAGCCTTGCGGGAGAAGATGATGCCCTGGCTCCTGGTTGCTCACACCTCCTGGAGCATCTGGGGGGCTGGCTCAGTGGGAAGACACAGGGAGCACAGCTTGGGTGGGCACCCATGTTAAACGCCAAACCTGGTCCCCAGCCCCTGCCCTGTCTTGCCCTTACGAGGCCCTGGTGGGGCTGGCAGATATCAGCAGGTGCTTAGTATACTTAGGCCCCAGAGAGATTTGGTGGGGAGGAATGGGCTAGAGGGTAGGAGGAGGGGCTGGGCAGGTTGGATTTCTGGAGACGGGGAAGGAGGAGGGGGAATGGGGAGGTGAATGAGGGCGAACAGTACCAGACACACACACGCACACAAGAATGGATGATGGCGCTTGAGGAGGGCAGGGAAAGGGGACGAGGGAGGGGAGAGAGACCTCTACTAAAATCAAAATGACAATTAATAATAAGTACTAATCAGCACAAGAATAATGGTAACCACAGAGATGGCAAAGGAACTCAAAAACCTATTCTGATATTTAAATGTAGACAGGCACCTCTTACGTTTATTCGCGCCTGATATTCAGCACTGCCCACCGAGTTCCGCGCGGTGCACCGGTACACGCCCCCGTCGCGGATCTGGGGGCCTGTGACGTTCATGTGGCTGACGGTGGTGCCGTCCGACATGGTGTACTGGTTGGTGCGGTGGCTGCCATCCCGCACAATGGGCTCGTCGTCGAGGGCCCAGGTGACTGTGGGGGGTGGGGCGCCCTTGGCCGCACACATCAGTGAGAACTGCTCCCCGGGGTTGACCACCTTCTCGCTGAAGGACGAGACGATGCGGGGCGTGCCGTCTGCAGGAGTGAGGAGCCCCCTTCAGGGTCACCAAGCCATGGAGAGATCGTCCCCCCAGCCACCCCACCTCAGCAGGGGAGGAGGCAAAAAGCAGCCGTAAGAGCAAAAAAGAACTTTTGTGTACATCAATTCTGCTATCCACAGCCCCAAGTGGTGCCAGTTACTTCTGTACGTGGATTCAGGCTGTAGGGTTTGCATCCTCCCTCAATCACTTATTAGCTCTGGGTTTTTGGGCAAGTGGCTTAACCTCTCTGAGTCTTTGTCTCTTATGGAGGGAGGATGGGGATAACAGCAATCATGTTTATACCCACCTCATGGATATTCTGAGGATAAAATGAATTAATGCATTTCAGATGCTTCACACAGCGCTTTGTAATTTCTTAATAAATGCTGGTTCCTCTCAACTCTTCCACTATTAATAAAGACACAAGCTCAGAAGTTAACTGCTTAGAACTACCTATGGAACCGTCTGGCCCTGTGGAGTCTGATTCCAGTTCCCTCTGCGTGGGACCTCCGGAGGGGGTGGTGGTGCTGCAGGCCTGTTAGCACAAGGCCTTAAGTCTGAGGCTGAAAGTGCACAGAGGCAGTGGCAGTGAGGAGTCTTGGCCAGGGCTTAAGTCTTGGCTAACAGAATAACCCTGGACAAGACAATTAACCTCTGTGCCCTGGCTTCCTCACGTGGAACATGGGGATGTAATTATTAACCCTGGCCATCCTTCCGCACAGGATCGTTGAAAAGGATTAAAATAGGCATTAAGTACTTTAAAAGTAGGCCAGGCACGGTTGCTTATGCCTGTAATCTCAGCACTCTGGGAGGTTGAGATGGGAGGATTGCTTGAACCCAGGAGTTTGAGACCAGTCTGGGCAATGTAGGGAGACCATGTCTCTAGAAAAATTGTAAAATAAAACAGCCAGGTGTGGTGGCACATGCCTGTAGTCCCAGCTACTCAGGAGCTGAGGCCGGGAGGATTGTTTGAGCTCAGGAGTTTGAGGCCGCAGTGAGCTATGATTTCATCACTGCACTCCAGCCTGGGCAACAGAGCAATGAGACCCCGTCTCTAAGAAACAGAAACAAGAAACAAAAAGGAAGACAAATGTTTGTGTGGTTGGGGTGAGGAGTAAGGGCTTAGGTTCCTGGGTGCCTCACACCTTCAAGGAGTGTGGACCCACAGGCCGTGACGGGGACACCTGGGGAGGATCCCAAACCTGTGGGGCTTGCTTGGGTTTGGCTGGCATCTTTGTTACGACAAGCCCCTGGAAGGAACAGAATTGTGTTGTGTTTGTTTTGGTGGCAATGAAGGAGGAGGTGGGGAACCATTAACCTTGTTTGTAAGGACAGGGTTTCTGCCAGCCCCCACCGCACCTTTGTACAAATGAGAAAGTGGTGCCTCCTCTGTGTGGACAGAGCCCAGTGCCAGGGCTCATGGCTTGGAAAATGAGGTGCAGGCTGGATTTCAGTCCTCACCTACCCTCTTGGCTGGGCAACATGTGCAGTGAACAACCTGAACAACCATACACAGGTGTGCTATGTAAGGAACCCTGGGTGGTGGCAGCTTTAAAGGAGGAGAGAGAGAAACAAACAGGTAAAACCCAGGATGTTGGTGAGACACAGAGCCTGCCTTGAAGAGGTCTCAGGCAGGGAGAGGAATTGCAAGTCCAGAGGTTATTGGCACTCTTCCAGCCTCTGAAGACTCCTCTAATACTGAAATTCTAGTAATTTCTGAGGGCAGAGATAGTATAGTATGATGGTTAAGGGACCTGAACTCAAATCTCTGCTCTGTCCCTTGGGCAGAGCTGTGTCACCTCGGGCAAGTGACCAAAGCCGCATTTTCCTCAAGAGCAAAATGGATAACATCATTTAAAAAAAAAAAGGCCTCAGCCCGGGCGGGAGGATCACTTCACCCCCAGTTCGAGACCAGCCTGAGTAACATAGTGAGACTCTGTCTCTACAAAAAAAAATAATAATAATAATAAAAAAATAAATACATAAAAAATTATCCAGGTGAAAAATTATCCTTGGACATTAGCGTGGTGCAAGGTGGTCCCTGCCCACAGTCCCAGCTACTTGGGAGGCTGAGGTGGGAGGATTGTTTGAGCCAGGGAGATTGAGGCTGCAGTAGGCTGTGATCGCACCACTGTTCTCCAGTCTGAGAGACAGAGTGGGACACTGCCTCAAAAGAGGAAAAAAGATAAAAAAGATTTAAATATAAAAAAGGACCTCCACACAGGGCCCTTAGGGTGAGATGGTGCATGGGCCTGGTGTGTACTAAGCATTGGTTTAACGCCTCCTGGCATTGTTGCCACCTCAGCAGGAGGGAGGGCATGAGCTTGGCAGCCCTAACCTGCCCCACCATGTCCTGGCGCCCCAGCTCACCCTCGAGTGCAATGATGGCAAAGTCCTGGGCGGTCTGGGCCTTGCGGGTGGCGAAGCACTGGTAGGCGCCGGAATGGCTCTTCTGGGCCGAGGTGATGAGCAGCGTCTCGTTGCTGAGCCCGCGGATGGAGATGGCCTCGTCGGGCAGCACCAGCTCTGTGTTGCGATACCAGCGGATGGTGAACTCCGGGGAGCCCGTCAGGGCACAGGAGAGGATGACCGTGCTGCCAATGCCGGTCTTCAGCTTCTTTGGTGTCAGGGTCACATGAAGGGGATCTGGGCCGGGCCAGGGAGACGTGAGGGAGAACGGGGGGGGAGGAAAGAACAAAAAAAGGGCTAACTGTGAGTGGAGTGCGGCTCGGGGCAGTCAGGGGTCACAAAAGGCCCAGGTTCTGCCTCCAGACTCCTTGTGTGGCCTGGGACTGGGGAATTCCTCACTCTAGTCCTCAGTTTACTCATTTGTTAAATGGCAGGCTCAGATTGAGGGATCTCTTGGTACTTGTTGTTCTGATGGCCTGTGCTCCCCTGAAACGTGTCCCTGTGCCCGGTGATAGCGTGAGGCTTCCTCTGGCTCACTGAGGAGGGCGGAGACTTGACTGGCTCATTATCCTCCCTGCCACCCATCTCAGAAACCAGGGGGGCACCCTTGGCCCAGCAGGCTGTCTCCCATACTTGCAGAGATAACCCATTGCTACGTGCTGCTGGTCTGATTTCCTCTAGATGGATCTGTGGACCCCCTGCTCGGCATCGCCCTGCATCACCCCACTGCAGGCCTGGAGCTCCCAACCTGGATCCACACGGCAGTACCGCCCTGCTTCCCCCTAGCTGTTCTCCATGCTGCAGCCGACCACTCGCTGCTCAGAACTTCCATGAGTCCAAACAATTCAGCATGGCATTTGAGGCTCTCAAGGCCCTGAGGGCCTGACTCTAGGGGTTCAAAGGGGTTCCGTTGTCACCAAAGCCGTAGGTCTTTAGAGCACCAGCAACCTGCCTGTGATTTCTGCATACCCTGGGCTGCTTCTGGCCCCAGGGCCTCACCTAGAGCATTCTTTGCCTAATTCTTACTCATTCTTCACATGGTATCACCTCTTCCAGGAAGCCTTCCTGGCATAACTCCCTCTCCCAGGTTGGGCTAAGTATCCCTCCTCTACCCTCCCCGTGTATAACTCACACCACACTGAGCACCTTGTCTCTTCATCACCTCTTTTGTGTCTGTCTCTCTCTCCCTCTGGACTGTGGGCCGCTTGAGAGCAGGGTGACATCTCTCAGCTTCATAGGCCTACCATGACCTGAGTCATTACTGATGGTCTAACTGGCTTAGCAAGCCATTTACAAGCTCCAAACTGACCTCTCCTTGATCTCTATGGGCTAGACGTTCTGTATGTGGGCTCAGGCTCCCTGTATAGCTTGGTACCCTGAGTGAGGAGGCCTGTAGGAGAGAGGAAGATTGCAAGCTCATGTGGGCTGGGTACAGCCAAAGCAGACATGACTGCATGCTTGGTTCTCCCTGCTCATTTCCCAGAGCCTCTGCCTACTGTCCAGGAAATGTCAGTGCACACTGAGGCAGGTGGCGCCCTGCTCATCCCAGTCACCAGCTGGAGCTTCCAGTGCTCTGCCAGCCACTGTCTCCTCACTGCTCCTGCATGGGCTTGGCACAGGTTGGGTGGGGGCCTTCGTGGAGGAGTAGGGGCATATGGAAAGCATTGCTTTCCTCTCCATGAACCTGGCAGAGAGAGGCTGTAGAGAGGCTGAAAGATGGAGAAAAGTCACATTGATTCCCCTTGAACCTTGGTGGTCCAAACAAGCCCACTGTGGGGAGGGGTAGGGGGCTGGGGATCAGAGAAGATGCATTCAGGGTCAGCGTGGGCATGTACACATTTGGAGGTGGTGACTTGTTGTACATCTGTGAGAGTGTACTTGGATATGGGCGTGTTACTGTGAAGGGATTGTGTAGCTGTGTATGTGTACGGGCACCGTACATCTATGCGTGTGTACATGGGGAGGTGGGCAGGTGCATTTTCAACAGGTGTGCCTGTGTCTGTGTGTGTCTCCGCTTCCCTGCAAATACTGGTGCAGGAGCTGTGAACACTGCATTTACCTACAGGAAGGTTTGCTAATTTTCCAAGGATTTGAGGGTGTGTTGCCCTTGTGACCTATTTAGAGAGAGAGAGAGAGAGAGAGAGAGAGAGAGAGAGAGACAGAGAGAGCGTATGTGTAGAGCAGGAAGGTGGGAAGGAGGTGAAGGTAATATTGGAATAAACTTTTTTAGACTGTACTTAGGGCAGGAAGGGAGGTGCCGATCCTGATCCTCTGTCTGCTCTGCTGTCCAGGGCTGGTTTTTACGAGAGGAACCCCCAGGCCCCTGAAGCAGGGCTTTCAGCATTGTAACCGAAGCGTTTGTGCAGTGCACTGCCACTCCAGAGCGTGTCTTGGGGCTCTTTCTGTTCTTCCACCCTGACAGTGAATTTGTGTTGGGAGGGCACTTTTCTGGGCACGCTCCAAATCTCAAGACTCTCTTGACGGCGAGGAAGGAGACTCAGCCCTTATCTGGGCTGGGGGAGTCAGACACTAGGCCCAGGAGTGGGCTCTGCTGTGGTTCTCTGGTCAGCCTGAGGGTCCGTAGCCCTGCTGCCCTATGTTCGCAATGGGTGGGAGGTAGGAGGAGAGTTTCTTTGGTCAACCAGGACGGGAGGTGGGATCACCTCCGGATGGTCTCTTTCCACTGCCCACATTTAATGACCCTCAAGATGCTGTCAGTAATGACAGCCTCATTCCTGTCCCATGAGGCATGGCATTTCCTCAAGGGTCTCCAGATCCCAGCCCCACTGCAACCTAGAGAGCAGGGAACTCAGAGTCAGACTCTTGGCGCTGGAGCTAGAAGGAACCTCTTCATTTCACAGATGGGAACCCTGAGACTGGGTCACACAGGAGTGGACAGAGGTGGGGTAGGGGGACGGGATGAGCTGGGCCTCACAAATCCTCATCCAGAGTGCTTTCCAGGGCATTCGCCCATCTGCTTCTACCCTCTCTGCCTACCTTGGGGGCTCCTCAGCAGAAGGGGTATGCTAAGGTCTTGGACCCCAGAAGGGGCAGGAGGAGCAGTAGGAAGGGACCAGGGTTGACATCCAGCTGGAAGGTCCTGGCAGAGATGATTTGCTTGTTTATGGACAGTTTCTGATCTGATTAATCAGTGCCCCTATCAGTGATTGTTAAACATCCTGAATGTCACCCTAGGATTGGGATGTATGTCCTCTTTAGTGGACTGACAGCTGCCTTGCTTCCCTTAGTTCAGATACTGCCTCCCTACAAGCCCAGAAGCCCTGCCCTCATGGCGAGCACATCACCATCACCCTCCTCATCCCACTGGAGCCTCACGACCTCTGGGAGGTAGGAAGGCTGGGACCACGTTCCCATTTTACAGACAAGGGCACTGAGCTGATGGTCATGGTTATGTGGTTTGCCCAAAGTCAGTTGCTATCGGCTAATGCCAGAAACAAAAGGCAGGCCACCTGATTTCAAACCAAGGGCTTTTCCAGGACACCAGACTGCCTTCCCCAGTCAGCCAGTGTAATTCCCAGGGCCTGGTCAGAGACAGGTCCAGCTGTCCACACTCCTCCCCCGACCCCTGCAGTGCTCTCAAAGGTTACTGGGGCTGCAGAAGGGGCTTTCCCGACTCACCAATGACCGTGAGGATGCCTGTGGCCTCTGCCGAACCGAAGGTGTTGGTGACCTCACAAATGTAGGTGCCGCTGTCCTCGGTCCGCAAGTCGCTGATGGTCAGCCCCGTGATGCGCTTGGTCCAGCGGCTGTCAGCCGGGAGGGGCCGGCCATCCTTGAGCCAGCGGATGGCGGGGATAGGGTAGCCCGAGGCGGTGCAGGGCAGCTCCACAGTGTGGCCGGCCCACACTTCCCGGGAGTGGAAGCCATCCAGGATGGTGGGGATCGACTCGGCAGGGTCTGGAAGGCAGAGAGGGTCGGCAGCCCTGGCCAGCCCTGGGTGGGATGAAGCAGGGCTGGGGGACGGAAGGCAAGCACCCAGACAGGAGCCTGCTGCCCACTGGCGCCCATAGCAAGGAGTTTCCAGGGCGGCTCCAGAGGAACGTTTCAGGGAGGGTGCACTGTGTCTTCTGTGCTCAGGCCAGACTGAGCCCCAGACAACCTTGACTGGGATTCCCAGCAGGGGCTGGGAGGAGGTGAGAATATGATGGAGTTCGGGACTAGAGTGACAGACAGAGGGACAGATGGAAGAAGCGGGGAAGAGAGCAAGACATGCAGGGAGGGAGAGGGTGTGCGTGAGAACTCCTTTCCCACGGAGAGTCCCTGGGTTCTTTTATTTTTGAGATGGCGTCTCAATCACTCCGTTGCCCAGGCTGGAGTGCAGTGGTGTGATCTTGGCTCACTGCAACCTCCACCTTCCAGGTTCAAGCAATTCTCCTGCCTCAGCCTCCCAAGTAGCTGGGCCTACAGGCACACACCACCACACCCAACTATTTTTTGTACTTTTAGTAGAGACAGGGTTTCACCATGTTGGCCGGGCTGGTCCCGAACTCCTCACCTCAGGTGATCCGCCTGCCTTGGCCTCCCAAAATGCTGGGATTACAGGCCTTAGCCACCACGCCCAGCTGTGTCCCTGTATTCTAGCCCAGGCTCTAGAGCAGTGATGTGTCATGATGTCTCAAGTTTGCAATTCATAGTAAGTATCTCTCTGGGCCTACTGGGAGATGGGAGGACGATCTATTTGTTCCTGCTCTGTCTTCTCCTGCCTAAACTCTGGAAAGACTCAGAAATGACCAGTTCATTTCTGCCAGAGCCTAAAAGGATTCAGAAGCCCCAGCAGTCACCCGTGACAATCCTATATTTTGCATTCCGAAACCAAGAGAAACCAGCAACTACGAGACCTGCAACCTGAAGCCGCAGAAAACCACAGCCCCTGCGGGCAGGATTCTGTGTGCAATGCCCAGGCATTTCTGAGTGGTGTCCTGTCAGCCCTCTCAGGCTCGTTCCTACCCTCCAAGGCCTCTCTGGGTTTCCTGCTCCTGGGGGACCTCCTCCCGCTCTAAACCTCACCAGGATCCCCCTCACCTACACAACACACCTCCACTGCTTATCCTGAATGGCAAGGCCTTCTATGATCTGGGCCAACGAGTCGGCCTGGCCTGCCTACACTGTCCCCTGTCTCCACAGAACCCTGCAGTGGTGTGCTGGGTCATCTGGGTCACCTGGATGTCCAGCCAGCCTGCTCTGCCTGGCCAGCTTCTACTCCTCTTTCACAAACCAGCTTAAATGTCACCTTTTCCGGATGCCTCCCCCAGACCACTCTCAATGACTCCCACAGATTTTTCTTTTCCTTTCATTTTATTTTCAAAGAACTCCCCGTTATTTTTATTTTTATTTATTTGTTTTTTGAGACAGAGTCTCACTCTGTTGCCCAGGCTGGAGTGCAGTGGTGTGATCTTGGCTCACTGCAACCTCTGCTTCCCGGGTTCAAGCAATTCTCTGCCTCAGCCTCCCGAGTAACTGGGATTACAGGCGCCTGCCACCATGCCCAGCTAATTTTTGTATTTTAGTAGAGATGAAGTTTCACCATCTTGGTCAGGCTGGTCTTGAACTCCTGACCACCTGCCTCGGCCTCCCAAAGTGCTGAGATTACAGGCATGGGCCACCGCTCCCAGCCCCAGAACTCCCCCTTATTTTAAAATAATGTTTTATTAATAGGTCAGGCATAGTAACTCATGCCTGTAATCCCAGCACTTTGGGAGGCCAAGGTGGGAAGATCACTTGAACCCAGGAGTTGGAGACCAGCCTGGGCAACATAGTGAGATCCCATCTCTGCCAAAACACATACACACACACACACACACACACACACGCGACTATAGTGCCAGGTGTGGTGGCACAAGCCTGTGGTCCTGGCTACACAGGAGGCTGAGGTGGGAGGATCAACTGAGCCAGAGATGTGAGGCTGCAGTGAGCTATGATTGTGCTACTGTATCCCATCCTGGGCAACAGAGCAAGATCTTGTCTCAAAAATAATGATAATCCTAATACTCATACTAATAAAAGCCTTAAAAGTGTTTTAACAGATAAAATAGATAATATATGCACTTGGTAAAACTTCAGAAAATATAGAAGAGCATGTCATAAAGGGAGTCTCCCCATCTCCCCACCCTCCTGCCCTCTGCCACCCCATGTGACTCTCCAGAGGTAGCCCCCATCGGCACTGTCCCTTCCAAGGGCAGTCAGCACCCGGAAGACTGTGAGCTCCTCAAGGCAGTGTGAAACCACTGCTGTATCTCCCCAGGCTGCTGAACCACAAATGTCTAGGGAGGATGAATGAGGAACTCGGGCATGGGCAGGCCAGTAGTCTGATTTTTCTGGATAGAAATCCACATTGCAGAACTGTATAGACTTGTGGAATTACAGAGCTGGCTTAGGGAGCTTGAAGCATGAAGAGATGAGGATGCTGAGACCAGAAATGTCCCTGCCTGGGATCACACCATGGAACTAAGATCAGAAGCCAGGGCCGGGCGCGGTGGCTCAAGCCTGTAATCCCAGCACTTTGGGAGGCCGAGACGGGTGGATCATGAGGTCAGGAGATCGAGACCATCCTGGCGAACACGGTGAAACCCCATCTCTACTAAAAAACACACACAAAAAAATAGCTGGGCGAGGTGGCGGGTGCCTGTAGTCCCAGTTACTCAGAGGCTGAGGCAGAAGAATGGCGTAAACCCGGGAGGCGGAGCTTGCAGTGAGCCAAGGTCTGGCGACTGCCTCCCCGCCTCGGCGACAGAGCGAGACTCCGTCTCAAAAAAAAAAAAAAAAAAAAAAAAAAAAAGATCAGAAGCCAGGTCTCCCCAAGCCTTGTTCAGTAAATGGTATCTGAGATGGAATAATCTAAAATCTTAAATTTTGCTTAAGAGTGGATAGTGGTCCCTTCACTAACGGGCACTTTCCTCTGCCCTCAGCAATTGCCCCGGAGAGGGGTTGGGGTGAGAATTCTCCTCTCTAGGGGAAAGATCTCTGTTCTCTTCCCACCTTCCAGCGCTCGTCAGGGGCTGCCTGCGGGCTACAGAAGGAGCCCAGGCTGGGAATCAGGCTCTCCAGAGGCTCTCTCTGACCCAGTGCCTGGGTCACTGAGAAGCCCTGTGATCTTGGGCAAGTTTTGTGATCTCCTAGAGCCCGAGTTTCCCCACCTGCCCTGCTAGAGGTGATAACATTGCCTCCAGACCTCACAAGGCCGTTGCAGGCAACCAGTGGCATAGGTGTGTGGAAGTGCCTTAGATGCTCAATCCGCCTGCAGATGCACGGGACAATTACTATCTAGAGCCCACGCGCCCTGCCTGCCAGATTCTGTGGCCTCTTCTCCCACCCCCAACCTGGTGGGAATGGCTGGGATAAACAAACCCGGTGCCAGGGAAGAATTACTCAATGTGACACTTAATTGATGCAAAATACACAAATTCCGCAGCACACCGCAGAATTTACAAGCGGAGGGGCCATCAGGGTGGTGGAGGAAGGGGCGGGGGGAGGGAATTAATCACCGAGGCTCAGGCGTGAAATTAAATTCTGAGGGAAAGAAACCTCTTTCATTACTCCAGAGCAGAAGTAAAATGCTGCGGCGTGTACACGGCGACAGCCCGGGGGGACCGAGCGCTGCTAGCACTGAGGCAGGGCTGGGGGAGACAGATGGTCAGGCCTGAGAAACTGCTGGGGGTGCACTGGAGCTAGGCTGGGCTGACTGGGGGTCTGAGACGCCCTGGGGCGGCTGCTGGGAACCCCCTACGGCCAGCTGAACGGCACTGCTATGGTTAGGTGGTGAAGGCACCGCCAGGAGCATGGCTTCTGCACCTGGCTCTGTCCTTTGTGAGCTGGGGGATCTGATTCCAGTTCCTCAGCCTCTCTGACCGCTGGTTTCCTCCTTTATAACTGCAGATGACAATGGCCATCCCACTGAGTTGTTGTGGGGACGGAGTGAGTTAATACACCTGAAAGCACTTGGTAAGCTCTAAAAGAAGCACCTAGATGTATGGAATGATTATGATTAGGTTGTATTTTGTGGAGGCACAGACTATTCTTGCAACTGCCTCTGCAACTTGGAAAATATAGAAAAATGAAAGTTGCCCTTCTTCCCCACCCCTATGCCTTGGGAAGGTAGTGGGAATAACAATATAGCAACAACAGAACAACCACTGACAATAATAGTAGCAGCTACTGTCTGTCCTCAGCTTCCTGTGTCAGGCACTAGCTAAACTTTTTATAAGCAGTATTAATTAATTAATAATTATTTATTAAATAATAAATAATTATTCATTATTGAATAATCCACTGTCACCCAGGCTGGAGTGCAGTGGCACGATCTCATGATCTTGGTTCACTGCAACCTTTGCCTCCCTGGTTCAAGCGATTCTCTGCCTCCACCTCCCGAGCAGCTGGGGTGCCATCACACTAGGCTAATGTTTGTATTTTTAGTAAAGATGGGGTTTTGCCATGTTGGCCAGGCTGGTCTTGAACTCCTGTCCTCAAGTGAACCACCTGCTTTGGCTTCCCGAAGTGCTAGGATTACAGGCCTGAATCACCACGCCTGGCCTTTCTTAATAGGAGATATTCTGTTTCATTCTCACAGCAACCCAGTAGGAGTACATTTTGTTACTCCCGTTTTCCGGATCAGGCAGCTGAGGTTTGGAACATTATTTTATGCCAGGCTGCACAACTAGTGAGTGTTGAGGCGGAGATGGAAAGTCTGGCCTAATTCGTAACTGCTGTCTTAACAATACACCTCGTTAGCTCTCCCCACCCCCAGCAACTTTAGCACTGAGTGCTGAAGAGACCACACATGTGGTTCCTGTTCTCATGAACTGACCACCTCCAATGCACTGCCATGTGTACCACTCTCACCCGCAAGGAGTCCCAGGAGCTCTCGGGGCCCTGGCCTCTAGAGACTGAAACGTCTCAGCAGACACTCGTGCCCTGCCTTTCTCTGGGGCCGGATCTCCACCCTCAGCTCTGGGGAGTGGATTCCAAGTGCAGTGGGGAGGGGCGGGTGAGCCCGAGGCAGGCTCTGGGCTTCCCAATGCCAACCCCGTAGGCATTGCTTGCTCCAGTATCAGTTGCATTTTTGCCGAGACAAGCAGCTTGCAGATCGCCTTGTCACATCCCATCACATCAGGGCCCCGTGTCACTGCATGGGCTCCCTCCCTGGAGCCCCCTCACTTGCGTCCTTTGTCTCTGTGCACGTCTCTCCGTTCTGCCTTTCCCCTGCCCCATGCCAATCTCTCTTTGTGCCAGGGCCTCTCTCTTGTCTGTCTGGGTACCGTCCCATCTTCATGCCCGCTTTTCTGTTTGGGCTTTATCTGTGAGTCTCCTCCCCCTCGCCCTTCTCCCGGAAGCTGGTGGTGAAAGAGGAGGGGAAGAAGGGCTGGCATGGCCTCCAGTTCAAAGAATGTCTCTTTTTGAGGAACTCCTGCCTAGTGCCCCCACAAGCTAGAGGTCCAGCCAGGAGACTAGAGGATGACGGGGCCAAATATTCGTGGAGGAGAAGGGAGCAGGCCTGAAGGAAGGGGATTTCTGTGTCTTTCCCACATTGCGGGATAGGCATGCAAATGAGATGCAAAACACCATACAAACAAGTCCCTGTTATTTTGAGGCGAGCCCTTTGGAAACTGGGCTGTGGATTCCAAAGTCAAGCCACAAAGATGGGGCCGCACGGAGCAGCCCCGTCCCCTACCCTTATGACAGCATGGTTTCCCTTGGCATTGATTAATGCCATAAATATTTACTTGGCACCTACCGTATGTTAGGCACAGGGCCAGGCGCTAAAGACACAGGGGTGAATCGGGAGCCAGGTTGTTGCCCTCCCAGCTCCTGATCTCCTGGCCTTGCCCCACATGTGACAGATATGTGGAAGGGGTCCTGGAGACAGTCATCTGTGGGTCAGGGCAGAGCTCATCACCAAACCACCAAACTCAGGGCAGAGCTCTGAGAGCTCTGAGGGCCAGAGGCAGATAGAATCAGAGCAGCCACCTAGACGGGTTCCTTTTCCAGAGGCCTAGAGAGGCTGCGAGATTTCATGAGTTTAATCCCAAAAGCCAGGTATTCTGACTTAGTGTTCATCCCCTTTTCAAAAACTCCAATCTCAAGACAGAGATTTTCAACTCACAACCCACAAACTGTTAGGAGGTTGTGAAATCCCTTTGGTGAGTTGTGGCTGGCATTTAGAGAAATCAGAATTAGATAGAATAGAATAGAAAATTTCAGGCGCCTTGCAACAAGCATGGTAGAAAATGCCAGCGCGTATTGCGCAGGCCATGCTAAGAACGTCTGTCTGGGCATTGCAGTCAAAGGGTTTGGAAACCACTGTTCAGAAAGCCTTCCTCGAGGAGCGCCTCTCTGTGACCTCAGCATGGATATGGGCATTCAGCTGACCCCTTCTACGGGGTCCTGTAGGACCCTGAGGCCAGGGGTTCAGAGTCTGAATTCCGGCTGTGCCTCCCACTGGTTAAATAGCTCTGGCTAGTCACTTGGCTTCCCTAAGATTTGGTTTTCTCGTCTGTAAAAATAGGGGGAACAGCACTCACCTCACAGGGCTATGACGGTGCCTGACAGAAACAAATGAGGGAATCCCAGATACACAGGAGGATTCAATAAACACCAGCTTCTATCCCTCCCGAGAAGCTATAATCACCCCAGAGCAAGAATCCCTTATTCCGTTTAGAAATATTTTGTTTATAAATTATGTTCTGCCTGCTTTCAAATGTTGCGAGGTGGCCTATGACGAAACATACATGTGTACTCATTGATCAGATAGAATTCTCCGGCTAGGCGCGGTGGCTCACACCTGTAATCCCAGCACTTTGGGAGGCCGAGGCGGGCAGCTCACCTGAGGTCAGGAGTTCAAGACCAGCCTGGCCAACATGGTGAAACCCTGTCTCTACTAACACAAAAAATTAGCCGGGGGTCATGGCACACGCCTGTAATCCCAGCTACTCAGGAGAATTGCTTGAACCCAGGAGGCAGAAGTTGCAGGAGGTGGAAGTTGCAGGAGGCAGAAGTTGCAGTTAGCCAAGATCATGCCATTGCACTCCAGCCTCAGCAACAAGAGGGAAACACTGTCTCAAAAAAAAAAAAAGAACGAAAAGATAGAATCCTCAAAAGCACCTAGAGGCACGGATATGCAACGCCCCCTCCCCGCCCCCCTGAAAAGCAACACTAATAGTTACTATGTTTGAGTATCCGATTTTATCTCTGTCCCTAAAAAAAAAAAAAAAAAAAAAGGGAAAAAGAGGGTGAGTTTCGTACCCCTCATTATTTGAAAATGAAAACATAGCAAAGAGGTCTTCCTTGGTGGTTTCAGTACCTGATTTCTTTAATCTCTTCCTCTGATTTCCCTGAGTACACAGGGGGCTCCTCCATCTGTGGTGGGACACACCAAGTTCCAGGGATGGCCTGGTGTCCTCCCTTCCCAGCCCGCCCCGTTCTCCCCCGGCTCTCTCCCCTACCTGTCACGGAGAGACGTGCCCCATTGCTCTGCCGGGTCTCCCCGCTGTACTTGTGCTTGGTGATGCAGCGATAGGTAGAGAGGGCATCCTCCTTCTGTACGTCAGAGATGTACAGCCCGCCATGGTAGGTAATAAAAAACCTGTTTTCTGGAGACACAATCAGGACATAGTTCGTTACTTCCCGGTTTGGTACAGCCTCAGAGGCAGGGTAGCGTCTCTGACAGAGGAGGATTTTCACACACAAACAAAATGACAAATAGAAACGATAGTAATTGTTCCTTTCAGTGTAGATGCTCCAGGGTTTAACAGAAAGAAGCTGGGCTTTAGAGTTAGGCTGAGATCTGGGTCCCGATCCAGCTCTTCTACTTATGGGCTGTGTGACCTTGGGAAAGTTACTTAACCTCTCTGAGCCTTATCTATACAATAGAGTACAAATAATGGGGTGGGTGTACAGATTTAAGAAATGGGGCCAGGTGTGGTGGCTCGCACCTGTAATCCCAATGCTTTGGGAGGCTCAGGCAGGAGGATCACTTGAGACCAGGAGCTGGAGACTAGCCTGGGCAATATAGCGAGACCCTGTCTATAAAAAAAGAAAAAAATTAAATGATTAGCTGGGTTTGGTAGGGCATGCCTGTAGTCCCAGATACTCGGGAGGCTGAGGCAGGAGGATTGCCTGAGCCCAGGAGGTCAAGGCTGCAGTGAGCCGTGATCATGCCACCGTACTCCAGCCTGGGTGACAGAGTGAGACTCTTGTCTCTAAAAAAGTAAAAATAAAAAGAAGAATAAAGCGTTTGGTGCAGAATAAGCACTAAGTGAATATTAGTTCTCATCTTTCCTACCTCTTTGCAAGAGTTTGCAAAACTCATATTCCTTGCTTGTTGACTTTTACAACTGTTTGAGATGCTAGCTCCATTTTACAAAGAAGGAAACTGAGGCTTGTAGTAAAGTAACTGGCCCAGGTCACACAGCCAGGAAGTGGACTGGAACTTCTGACTCCCAGTTGTCCCTCTGTATGGAATTACACATAAGCCTCCATCCCCTTCTCTCAATTTAAATCATTTATTCACTCAACAAACGATTATTGAGGCAAAGTTATACTAGCATGGGGACAAGGAGGGGCAGATACACGGTAATCAGTCAAATAGTTCTCAAACACGCACTGTGCACAAGGCCGTGAAGGGAACAGGCACTGTACTCTATGCCTCCTGCCACTGCCACAGCCATCTCTGCCCCGACTGTTGGGACCTGGCAGGGGAGCAGGAAGCACAGGGGGCAGCCTACCCACGTTGCAGATTGCGACACAAGAGCCCCCCTTCCCATCCCAGAGGGGAAGTGGATTTCCTTGTCTAAGGTCCTAAGGCTCACCCTCACCTTGAGCCGATAAAGGCTGATTTAAAGGAGAAAACTGGACTTGAGGGTTGGGAAGGGGTTTGCACTAGACTCCCTAAGCTCATGGATGTGTCCTCCCACTGAGGCCAGACTAAGATGGGGAGGCGAGGCCGGACGCGGTGGCTCACGCCTATAATCCCAGCACTTTGGGAGGCCAAGGCAGGCGTATCATGAGATCAGGACATCAAGACCATCCTGGCTAACACGGTGAAACCCCGTCTCTACTAAAAATACAAAAAACTAGCCAGGCGAGGTGGTGGGCACCTGTAGTCCCAGCTACTCAGGAGGCTGAGGCAGGAGAATGGCGTGAACCCGGGAGGTGGAGCTTGCAGTGAGCTGAGATTCGGCCACTGCACTCCAGCCTGGGCGAGAGCGAGACTCCATCTCAGAAAAAGATGGAGAGGCGAACTCTGGGGTCCTCTGCCTCCTCTTTGGGGGTTTCCCAGGCAGGCCTCCAGGGCCCAGGCTGCGATTTCCACTGGGAGGGGTCTTGGAATCAGGATAGTGATAGTGACTTCAAAGCCGCAGAGGAGAGGGTCGTGCTGAACCCACGGGAAGAACCTGATAGCACCACATGTCAGGCTGGCAGAGGGAAACATTTTGGGCAATTCCATGCCCTCTAGCCCCATTATTTAGAGGTCTGCTTCCTCCTACCTGAGGCCTAAGTGACATCCCCTCAGCCAAGATGAGAGCTTCGCTCCTGTGAGGAATATTCTGTGGTATCCCACCCATCTCCCTCCACCATCCCGAGCACGAGTCCAAGATTCTCAGCATCCGGAGGTGGGGACCTCACCAAAGGGCATCTTCTGCCACTGGAGGCTGTAGAACTGCAGGGCTGAAAAGCTGAGTGCGCGCGACGATATCTTTGACAAAGGTTCTCCAGCCTTCATTTGAATATCTCTGGGGCTGGGGAACTCCCTCCCTCACTCAGCAGCCCATTCCAAAGTTGACTTTTTTTTTTTTTTTTTTTTTAGACAGAGTCTTGCTGCGTTGTCCAGGCTGGAGTGCAGTGGCATGATCTAAGCTCACTGCAAGCTCCGCCTCCCGGGTTCACGCCATTCTCCTGCCTCAGCCTTCTGAGTAGCTGGGACTACAGGCACCGGCCACCACACCCGGCTAATTTTTTTTTGTATTTTTAGTAGAGATGGGGTTTCAACATGTTAGTCAGGATGGTCTCGATCTCCTGACCTCGTGATCCCCCGCCTCGGCCTCCCAAGTGCTGGGATTACAGGCGTGAGCCACCGCGCCCAGCCCCAAAGTTGACTTGTAGATCAGTCTTCCTTGGTGACCACTGATCTTCTTGGCACTTCCACCATGGGTTCTGCTCTGACTCACTGGTGCCCTGCTGAACCAGCCAAAACCCGTGTTCCTGACATACTCCCTCACACACTGGAAGGTGGCTGTGATGCCCTTTGAATTTTCTTCAGGGTTAACAGCCTTAGGATTTTATTTTCATTTTATGTATTTTTTGAGACAGACTGCCACTCTGTCACCCGGACTGAGTGCAGTGGTATGATCACAACTCATTGCAGCCTTGGCATGCTGGGCTCAAGTGATCCTCCCACCTCAGCCTCCCCAGTAGCTGGGACCACAGGCATGCACCACCACACCTGGCTAATTAAAAAAATTTTCTTGTAGAGATGAGGTCTCGCTATGTTGCCCAGGCTGGTCTCAAACTCCTGGATGCAAGGGATCCTCCTGCCTTGGCCCTCCAAAGTGCTGGGATGACAGGGATTTTATTTTTTAATATTTATTTAATATAGTTTCAGATAACTTCATCAGTTTGGTCTTTTGCTTCTGAATGAACTTTGGTTTATCTGCAATTCCAATTGCCCCTCCCTCCCTCCTTTCTTTCCTCCCTCCTGCACATTTTTGTATAGAACTGGACCTACCATGTGCCAGACACTGTGCCCCACTTTGTGAGGCTCTAAGATTAGACTTAGCCCATCAGAGCAGAGTAGAGCAAGACTACCAACACCCAGCCTCAGGCTGCATCACCTTGTCATGGGGATGGTGTGGGAGGAGGGAGGCAGCCCTGTTATACTACTCTTCTTGCAGTCAACTAAAGACCCTGGCCCTGTCTCTGGGAGCCGCTGCCATGCCACTTTCTCTCTCTCTGTCCTTGGACAGTGGTTATGTGGGCCAGAGTCTGGAACTTCCCATTGATCCCGGTTGAGCTACATCTTGCTGGGGATCCTCCCAGATGAGCACTTGGCCATCTGGCAGCCTGCCCATCTTCTGGAACCTGGAGTTTGTGGACACCCCGCTCTGCCTGGCTCCAGCACACAGATCACAGCTGGGCAGACCCCGCAACTAGGCAGACCCCCACTCAGGGCTGTGGGTGGGGACAAGAAGGAGGGTGGAGGGCGCCAAGCCCCGCAGCTGGCTGTCAGAGAGGAACCGAGGAAGCACAGAGAAAGCCGGCTCCCCAATGGATTCTGCATGTGCCGTTTTGTCTCCATGTTGTGACATCCCAAAGTCAAATGCAGAAGCTCTTCTGTAATTTATTATGTAACTGGGACTGGAATGCAGAACTACTGGAGGGTGTTGCTGCCAATCAGAAGTACCAGTGTCAGGAGGTAGTGATGGTGGGGTGAGGAAAAGCAGGAAAGACACAGAAATCAATGCTCACAGCCGACAGGTGCTCCAGCCCTGGATAGCTAGGACCCTGTGATCTTGCATCACCCAGCACCTCAGGACAAACAGAGCACTTGGCCCTACGAGGATTTTAAACCAGGGGTGGGGGGTGGAGGGTGGGGGGCTGATGCTGCCTTGATGGTGGTGGGGAGCTAGGGTTTCTATAGCAACAAGCAGCTGCTGCATCTGATGTTTCACATCCTTCATTGTCCTCATTTTCCCCTCCCTCCCCCCTTCTTGTGCATATTTAATTGCAGTAACGTTTTCAGACACAGTGTTTTGCTCCTCCTGAAACAAAGGCAGGCTGCAGCCAGGGGGATGCACAGCGCGAGAGGGGAAGGAGAAATCAGGGGTATGATGTTAGTCCCCTCGGGGGGCTTGTGCAACATCAGTTCTGCATGTTTGATGAGCATCGGACGGTGGGCCCTGCTGGGGAAGGAAGGAGCAAGAGGCCTGTGGAGTAAGCCTCGTATAGCATGAGAGCGGAGGGAGGCCCGGCCCGCTGGTGGGGGATGGAGATGGGCCAGGGCTGGACAACTTGGCTGGCCTCCCAGGCTGGCAGCCCATGCTCTGCACCCCAGATGCAACTAGCCATCCCTAGGAAGGGAGAAGTGTAGCTGGCCCACTTTCTCTGCTTTGAGACAGGCTGGGTCCCACGGGAGAAGGATAAAATGGCAGCCAGTACCTCCGGGTCCAGCACCAATCCTGAGGCCACTTGGAAACGTGTGGGGAGGTGGGACATTTGGGGTTGACACCATAATTTGGGGTTGCTAAGGGCATTTAGTGGTTAGGGGCCAAGGGAGCTTGAGTCACAAAGAACTGTTGCACCCCAAATGCCAGGAGTGTCCCTGTGGGTTTAGGCTGGAGGGTGCCATTCCTTTAGGCTCTAAGACCAAGACACAGAGCTGTGTTTAAATGCTGACTGTGCCCTTGACATTGCTTGATCGACATATTTCAAAGGCTGTGGTATCATCTATCTACATGCTCATGACTAGGGGAGTGGTTGGTTTCTGCTTTTCTTCTTTTTATTATTACCACAAAGACCCTGACCTGTTTTGCCATCCCCTTTCCCCTGTGATCTTGAGCAGGACTCTACTTTTTTAAAAGCTGAATATTTATTG